TATTTTTTTTTGAATGTTGCTGAGTACATTTTTGAATTTCTAAAGATCTTTTCTGAAGTTTTTTTTAAAAAACAACCCTAGCAGGTATGGAGGACCAGGGGAGACACTGAAGAATACATGCAGCTATTTCAGATATAACATTTAAATGATAGAGTTAGGAATCCAATTTGAAGCATTTTGTAAATGCACATTTTAGAATGATTAAAAAGGAATAGTAAATTCTATTTATTATTCTATTTTTAAATAGAGAAATTTGAAAATGCCACACCTGGATAATAACATGATGGATAGGAGGTACTGTGCTCTCACCAGAATTGTTCTTGGATCACCAGTCTTTGTTTTAAATGTCTTCACACTTTATCACTTAAGCTAGCTTAACCTTAAAGGTGCAGGTGACAATGATGCAAATGCTTTAAGGAAACTTCTGGAGATCATGTAAAACCTATGAGGCCTCTTTCAAGTACTCAGAAGACAAGCTTCTCTTAAAATCAATTGAAATCCAACTGGTATTTACTGTAGGAGAAGTCTGTGAGTTTCCACAGAGTTAAAAAGCAGGCAGGTGGAGCAGTACATCTGTAGTTATTTTGGTAGCCATCATGTTGTGATCCAAGTGGGGCTTTCTGTTTACATCTGAGTGGGAACTGTGATTGGTTTTACCTGGTGTTTAGTGTGCTTATCAACCAGAAGGGTTACGCTAAGGCTAAATATAAAAGGGAAACTATTAGGAGAATGCACAAAGTGCAGAAGGAACGCTTAATGAAGAGGGTAAATTAAAAAGAAAATGAAATTGCAAAAAGCATTCTCACAAAAACGACAAATATATAAAAAAATATATTTATTTGTAAAAGGTTTATTTGAAAGGTTTATGTAAAGTGCACTATTTGTAATCATCTTTTCTTAATTAATCAATTTTCTTAATTATTATGACCTCAAACATCTATGGGTATAGTTTTTCTTTTACAACTGCTCTAAGACTGCATTTAACACTTTCAATTTGCTCATTTAACTAGGAAGGACCAAACCAGTTTGCACAGCTTACTCACTAAATACAATATATGTAGAGACTTTATCACTTCTTATTGGAATTATTTGAAATTCAGGCAGTCTTCCTCAGAGCTTTGTTATTCTAGATGTATACACCAATGATGAAAAAAATTTTTATTTTGGTATCAAAAAAAATGAGTAAAGAATGTAGCATCATTTTGTCATACAATTACAGAGTTAAACCTTTCCCTTCATTGGTCTAATTTTAAAAGATGGTCAAAAATACTATTGATAATTGATCTACTATCTGATGTTATTGTTATTCTCCTAAATAGATAATTTTGTGGAATTTATTTTAAAATAGATAGAAATTACCTTTATTGTTCCACAGGCCAACAAAAACAAAAAAAATTGTCTAAATTTGTTCTTGTGTTTTGGAAAACTGATTTGATTTCATCAGAAATATTAAAAAAATAAATGCCCATCAAAGATGGTTCCACACTTACTGCCATAGCCTGTAGCTCTAAGGCATGAAAAAAAATGTTGAATGAGGGAATCCCAGTTAGGTAGCGCATTGAAGATGCTTGTCAAAGCTATTACCTGAAACTAAACCAGGTCAACATAGTTAATAGAAACAGCAATCAAATTTTATCCAAAGCCTGTTTTACAGACAGTGTAAAACCTTCTTTAATATCCAGGTTTTCAACATTTATGTTTAGTATTGGCTTAATAATAAATTAAATTTGGCACCTTAGAATAAAAACAATTTTGGTCCCTGTGAAGCAAGTTTGAAATGCAATAGAGTCCTTTAAAAAGTGCTGCACTCTGTATTATTTTATCAGAATTATTAATTATTATCCGTTTGGAGATGTGTGCAGTAGTAGGTTGTCTTGGATAGAAATTTTACATTTCTTTTATAGCATTACATCCATAAAATGCCATTTTATTTCTGTGAAAACTGATCTGATACATCAACTTTTTCCTACAGTTAAAGCAACATTTGGGAATTGCCCATTTGAACATGAGATTCATGTCTGCTACTGTTTAGATCACAGTTTGAATGGTAGAGTTCTCTGACAAACCTCTGAGGCCTTTGCAAAATAACTAGATATTAGATATATACATTTGGGTTCTTGTCGTGTGAAAAAAAGTATTCAACTATACAATCCAGTTAAATAAGGAGATCAATGGATTTTACTCAGTCGGCACTTTATTTTCCTTTGCAAAGAAAAAGAAAACAAGACATTCATAACAGACCTGACAGCTTGACCTTCTGTTCTGTTCTGGCTAGACAATGTTTTTTTCTCACTAACTTAAAGTCTGGGAAAAGTTGTGAAAGTTGAGTACATTTAATCAAAACAAATTTCAGAAATTTAACAGTAAAATGTTATGAATAAACCTTGAGAAAGAACTTGGTTTATTAAGGGAATGGTATTTCTTGTCCCAAACACTTCTCTCACTCAGACACCTTGTGCTCTCGCAGGTGAAACGCTTGAGATAAAACATTTTGTACGTAAAAAGAAAACCAGCACTCATATGTTAATATATGAAATTGTAAATTAATAAGAACCTGAATGTTCCGACCGCAGTTCTTTATCTAAACTTGGAAGATTATCGTTTATACTGGATTTTAATCTTGAAGTTCAAAAAAAAAATAAAAAAATACAGGCTGGGAGCACATACGTATGGATATAATGGAAACACTTTCAAAGTTTTAGTTTTTATGTTAAAGAATTTTTTTTAAATTATGTATCGTTTAAAATAAAAATCGAAACAAAATCACCAAGTTATGATAAAAGTTGTAAACATAATTTTGGCATTATTTGCAAAAATGTTGCTTCAGCCAGTCCTTGATATTGGTGAAACATGAGTGCAAAAAGAAATCTTACTCCATTGCCACAGGGTATTTTTTTAATACAGCAGAGCTTTACGCTGTCTGACACCATTGCTGTGTGACAGTGCAACAGATGGCAGCCTGCTCTCTGCACATTACTTTGACAATATGACTCTAATGGATGTTGAAGTGCCACAAGCAAACTCTGCAAAGATAGAGCCCAACTGTCATGTTCCATAAGGCGTTTGTAGGGACTCTTCAGACGGAGGAGACTAAGGCTGATGTAGTCATTGGTATTCACAATCGCTTTAAATGCTTTTTTACAGCTGCAGATGTATTATGTTTATGTTGATGTTGGTGGGTTGCTTAGGGTCCAGGAAATCAATAGTTACAATAAAGATGTCTAAATATTGTAAGGCATTTCTAAATTTTCTTGGAGGATGATAAGACTTAGTGCTTAGGTAAAAAAAAAGCAATTTTATTTTTTTTTTTTATAATGCACTAAGCTTAATTCATTCAGCTGTACTAAAATAGATTTAAAAAAAAATCAAAAAATCTAAATAGAGTCGCAAACAAAATGCTGGCTTGTTAAAATAAACCCCCAGTTCTCCCTAAACGTAATTAAATTTAAAACTAGATTCCAGAGAACATCTGTATTACTTTAGTATCATATAGAGAGATGAAAATGAGAAGATGGTACATTGTTTTTTTCAGGAAACATCTGCTCAAATAAGGTGCACATATTTATTATTTATTTATCCCTTTATTAAAGCACAGAGTTAAACAAAGTGTTGAATCTTAGCAGCCTTCAGGTGTTAGCCATATAGCCAGTTTAAATAGGAAGGGGACATGATGTTGTGTAGTTGTGCACCACACTGAGCATGGAGCAGAAAAAGCAAACAGCAGGGTCATACGGGGACTTCAAAGTCGGCTACTTTACTGACCAAATATACTGTAACATTATGATCACTGACAGGGGAAGTGGATAACACACATCTTTCTTCTCTGAACCTGTTAGTTGTGAGATAAACAGTAGTAGTCCACAATGGAAAGACATATCCATAATTTTAATTACTTAAAAGCTGCAAAAACAGGCAAGAGAGTTTCACAAAGTACAGATGGTGAGCTAAGCAATAAGACCATCTCTGAAACACCAAATCTTTTGGATTCTTTCTAGTCTTCAGTGGTCAGTACACATGGACTAAGATCGAAGATGGTGAACGTCCAACAGGATCATAGGCATCCAACGGTTAATACTGCACATGGAGAAAGGCCGGACTGTGTAGTGCAACTTATTTTAGCTCACATAATAGTAATAATTGAACTTTATTGATCTCACATTGGAGAAATTTACCTCTTTATTCAACCCATCCCTTTCGGGTGCAGTGGGCTGTCATTGTGCGACGCCCGGGGAGCAGCATGGGGTTCAGGGTCTTGCTCAGAGACCCAGAGTGGCAGTCTGTGGGAGTGGGGCTCAAACCTCAGGATTTGAAGCTCTATGCCCTAACAACTAGGCAACCACTCCCCTAACACAGCTTATTTTCTGAGTCTGATGAAAAACGTTTAGAACATGCAGTGCATTGCAAAGGGTTGCTTATAGAGCTGAATACCTGCTGCTACTTCAACATTGAAGAGATGATCAGAAGTGCAACGTATTGAGCGTATATGTTTCTTCTGGGGATCACGTGGCATCAGGATGGACAGTACTGGAAGGATGAGCTGGCAAATGCAATGTAATGCCTGTGTAATGTTCTTCGGGTTCTGCCGTCCATGAGAACTTTAGTTTTACATAGTATGATTTACTCAACTTTCTATAAGCATCTTTAACAGCATCAATTAAAAGGTTTATGGAGCTGTAATGGATGTCTCAGGATGTGGAATTAAATCAAATGCATAAAAAGGCTGATTATGTTGATGGTACAGGTTTTAAAAAAGAGCTAAATAAACAAAGCAAAAAAATCTTAGTTGGAAACCAAAGTTAAAGTAGTTCATACTTACTGCACCAATTGTAAGATTTCCAGCATTAATTGGCTTCAGTGAAGAGGAGATGGATCAATAAACGGATAACACCCAATGCAAAGCAAATCCCCATAGAAAAAAGAGGGAATCAAAACATTTGGTTTCTTCATTCACTGCCAAATAAGCAGTTTCTGTGACGTATAGAAAACAGCACCAAACACGCAGACTCCCTAAAAAGGTGTTTTCTTTATTAAAGACAGCATAAGTCTGAAAAATTAAAGCAAATTATTTATTTATGCATCGTATTTCCTGTCGTCTGAAAGTCAAACCAGCAGTGAAGTGAATAACAACTTAAATAGCTGAATGAAATATTTGTTAGTAAAAATCTGGCTCTAAAATAGAAAACATCTTAGATACTTGAAACAAAACGGGAAAAAAAATCCTTACAGAAGTATGATACAAACCATTACAACCAGTTTAAATACAGATATCAGCCTGTGCATTATAATGTTGTATTTGTCAGAAAAAAAAGCATTTATAAGAACAATTCAGTCCAGTTAGTTAATTAAAATTTAAACTTTGCACAGCAATAAAAAAATGGCGTAGCTGAATATATATTCTCTACAAGGGGTCTATATCCAATACAGTCCAATAAACAAATGAAACCATATCATGCACAATATTGCCACTCAGATTCTGCTTGTCGCTGTACAATCAATTTATGTATTTACAAAGTCATCAAAAACTAATCAGCTAAGTGTTTTAAAAATAAAACTTGATGCAAGTTAAGAAAAACAAAACCTTGATTCCATCCAAAGGCCCTCAAGTGGAGTTAGTACATCACAATAACTCTCGTTCAAATGAAATTAAATGTCAGGCATCCACAGTTACTCACACGCATTCACAAAGATCTAAATACATTCAAACATGGCAGAAATACAATCAATAGCATCTCTGATGCCCCATAAGCGTGATCTGATTCAAATGAAGTATGAAGCCAGTCCTGCATTTTAAAACATAATTAGATTTGAATTTATCAGGTTTTCCTTCATGCTAGTGACAATTACCTAATTAGATACATGTTGCACAATTCCAGTTACTGCCTCCGCTCAAAAAACTCAGCAGAATTTTGTACAGAAATGAGTCACTGTTTTAGAAAGGCACTGGCTGCTGAAGGAGCCCTGCAAGCTTCCACACCTTCAGTATTCACTTCTGGCCTCAAGATAGAGCTGAATAACAGGAGGTCACATGCAGGAGGAAGAAAATTAAAACATATAATGATGGCATGAAACATGCAAAGCTAAATCCAGTTTTTACTTTTGTAGGTAACTTTCCCTCGTTTTGTCAAGTTACAACCACAGATTAATTAATTGGAATTTTATGTGAGAGACCAACAGGAAGCAGTAGATGATTAAAAAATGGTGTTTTGCTTTTGTTCTTAACATCCTTTACGCTGCTTTTCCTAAATAATCTGCTGCAACTTTAATAAGCCACCTAATTTGTAAGACTATACCTGTAAACTGGCCATGGATAACGTAAAGCAGGCATCCCCAAAGTCGGTCCTCAAGGGCCGCTATCCTGCAGGTTTTAGAGGTTTCTCTGCTTTAGCACAGCTGATTATGATGATTGAACTTGAGCAACAGCCTGTTAATCAGCTTTCAATTAAAATCAGCTGTGTTGGAGCAGGGAAACCTCTAAAACCTGCTGGACAGCGGCCCTCGAGGACCGACTTTGGGGATGCCTGACGTAAAGTATAAAGCAGGATTAGGCTGTAAAACCTTATCTTTGGAATGGGGAAGGTAATCCTAGTTTGCTGTTAAAGATTCTCAGTCATCCAGGTCATAGTCATTCCAAAAAAGTTAAAAACAATCCAGTGGACTTGGTTTCCAAGTTTGAAGACGTTTCGCTTCCCATCCAGGAAGCTTTTTCAGTTGAAAAAGCATGTGTGTTCAGTTTTAGTTACAAAATTTCTCTCCACAGATTCTCTCACTGTACTTTAAAACATTTCAACCTCCAGACGTAGAAACTCGGTAAAGACTTGCACTGCTTAAGCTGATTAAAAAAATAGGAACTCTAACGGTATAGATTCAAATCTACTGGACACTTTTGAGAATCATATTTGTAGGGAAAAAAAAGAAAAGGGAAAATGTATTTCACAATCCATTTGTGTTGGTGTATCACATACAATCCCAAATAAAACAGTAAAATTTAATGTCTCCATCTGATGAAAAGTAAATATTCTTAAGGTGTGTGAATACTTTTACAGGGCATTGTACTCTCATACCTAAGTCATTAGGCTAGCAGATGCACAAGAGCGTGAAAGATGGATTATACATGCATTTGCAAACTGAATGTAGCACATACTTTACAGCAGTGCATTGCATGGTGACAAGTTCATATTCTTAAATTTTAGTATAGACATTTAACACAGTTTGATTGTAGCCAAAAAATCATTACCAGCTTATAATATATATTCCATAAAAGCACTGCATTGTTCACGTGACGCTTATTGGGAGATGCAATGCGAGTTAATTAATGTAAAATCATTAACAGTTTATGTCTTACAGTAAAAACATATCAAAATCAGTATCATACAATTCAGCTATTAAGTCCAACTTCTCCAAGTTTTTGTGCCATGTGTGGAAGTCTCTGAAATGCGTGATCATGAAGCCATGCAGCCTTGTGAGACAACCCAGCCTTCCCCGCTCGCTAAAAGAAGATGTTGCCATTGCAGGAAAGCAGCAACCACATAACACTGGTCTGTTAAGACTGACCGGCTACACAAAAGAGTTCAAGGAGTTCATGGCATTAAGCGGTGATGGGGCCCCTGCGCTCTCAGGGCCCTCATCATTGTCCCTGCTGGAACTCTTTCCGCTATACTGGCCAATAAAGGAGCCGTCTTCGTTGAACTGCCCATCTCCTCCTTCCCCGTAGTCAACTAAACTGTCGTCACTGTCCTCTCTCTTAACCGTCCCATTAGACGGCGTTCGGCTCCCTTTTAGCGGTTTATGGTCCTCATTGTCACTGAAGGAGAAAATAACATGCAGATGTTACAGATGAAATGAGGTGGCAGATGCAAGATTAGTGAGCACTTTTTTTTTTAGATGGAGCACGAAACAGCCAATTACAACTCATATAGGAGACTGAAAAGTTGCAAGAAAAATAAGCAGCAAATTAGACTTGTATCTGAATTGAATTTGCTCCATGACTAACAAAACAGAAGCTATGATTGGTTTCTACCAGGCAACAGGGAATAAAGCTCAAGCCATCATACTCCGTCTAAATTCCCCTTGAAACCAAACATGAGGTGAATGTGCTGAGGGACAAAAGCATTCCCCTTCCCCAGACAGAGGCTTTGATGACAAACAAGATGCTCTGGCAATAATGAAGTAAATAAAACGTGAAAAGCAAAGATTTCAGATGCACATCCTGCAAAGCAAGCATGAGAAGAACCCCAACCTGGTGCAATATATGAAACGACTTCAAAGAAATTTTTTCTTTGGATAGAAGATCATAATAAACATTCCATGGTTACATGAGCTTGACGCCAATGAAATGTGATCATAATGCCGTCATCATGCTACAGTGTTCTTCGTATTTAGTTTGAATTGTCACTATCTTTAAGTATAAGACATTTATGAAGTGGTAGACTGTAAGGCCGTTTTGATGAAGAAAGCAAATCACACTGAGCATGATCAAGGCTTTATGAACAAATATATTAAAACTGATGATAGCAAGTGCTTTTCTCCACAGTGACTTCCACAGAACTCAAACAACCCCCACAGACACCATCATGGCCCTTACCTTCACTGAGACCCACACCCCTGAGATCAGATGAGGACATCCCACTGAAATCCCACACTGACAGTCAGTCCAAGTCTCATTACTCCATAAACATTTGGTAGAAGTTTCTATCTCTAAATTAGCGTCAAACAAAATGTCTAAACAGAACTTGAATTTGTTCTCCCATCAGAAAAGAACAGCTCAGACGAGTTAGATTATGTCTTTTATTGACATACTGAAAGGTTCCTGCTGAATATGAAACAAGACGGGAAAAAAATCTCTAACAAAGGCACTATGTTTTTATACACTTTGCGGTCTGTTATAATACATTTATAAAATCATACCTTTAGTTGGCATCCATTCTGCTATTCCCCATTCTCTATACATACAATAAGCTGTTGGCATTTTTAATAATAAAAAGTCCAAAACCACACAGTACTGGAGGCAGTAAAAGTCACAGGGCCAAAATGCATCAAGAGTTAAATATCAAATTTGTCTATATTTCAATTTATAAAGCATAAAAATCTTGAAAGTGTAAAACATAACGTCCCTTTCAGTCTGCCTGTTTATGTTTAAGCAGGATGATCATAGTAATAGTAAAACACTATTTTTTTATGCAAAAAACTCCGAGACACCAACCTCTAAATCAGGAAAATTGCTGTTGGCTCCCAATCTAACAGTTGTCATGAAGCACTGAAAACATAATCTTGTGCACATTACCATTTTTGTCACAAGCAATCATTTAAAGTACAGAAAGTCGGGACTCATTATTCGTTTATATTACTTGGTAGCATGGCTAGTTAATGTCTCTAAGCTCCCGCTAGAAATGGGTACATGAGTCTTCGCTGTATGGGCCGAGAATGTAATTACAGAGATTGATGCCTCAGTTTGTGCTTTCTGGAAACTTTTGACTGCATTATTAGCCATCTTGTACTATGTTTCTGTCCCTTACACTTTCTATTTTTACTGATTTCTGAACTAAATAGATTGTTATTAAGATATTCAATGTATTCTATAAGATATAATGCAACTGATACTTAGAATTAGATATTCTCATTTTAGGAAAAGTAATCCCTTTTTTTGATTATTGCTAACTATACCTGTCAATTTTTAGATTTGAAAATACAGTAAGCCCCAGTATCCCGGCTAAAGGGGAGGACTTGACAGCTATGTTATTATCCATGTGTTGGGATCTGGAGGTCTGTCCACCTTTCTCCAGCAGAGGGCGCCCTAGGTCTCCTGGAGCTGAAGCTGACTACCACACCTGCGGCTCGTTTGCTCATCAGGAGACCAGCATTTAAGGAGAGGCAGAGCAACACTCCAGTGCCAGAGTGTTATGCCAGTTATGGTTAGCAAACCTGAGCTGACCTGCCTGTCTGATTCTCTGACTCCCCTGAAACCTGAACCTAACCTGTTTTTGTCCTCTCTGCTTCCTAGGAAGAACCTGTCTGAACCCAAAAACTCAGGAAGAGTTTCTCAGTCTGAAACCAGCCTGTCTGATCTCCGAAGAACCCTGGAAAGTCAATCTGTCAGTAACCTGCCTGCCCGCTCTCAGAAGAAACTGGAAGAGAAACTCAGATCAGAAATTGCAATATCAGAAATCAAGCCTCTGCCTCTACCAAGCCCTCTGCCTGCCTTCTGCCTCTGGACCCTCCTGGTTCCCCTCCTCTGCCGCTCAGCTCAAACCACTGAACAGGTACAGACCTGCACTCATTCAACCATCGAGCATACTTGGACATCAGCTAACCATTCTGTCCCTCTCTGCAGAGAAACCAGTCGTGACCAGTCTTGGACCTGTTTCCCCCCGAATCAGTTCTTTAATAACATTGTGTATCCAAATAAACTGTTGAACTTTTCCCTCTGAGTCCGTGTGTTCTGCATGTGGGTTAGAAACCTTGGTACCAACATGACACCATGTTGTTAACATATAGTGTGTAGTCTTGGTTTAAACACAAAACATATTATACTATAATACTCTCCAATAACTGTATACTTATTTACTGTATAGTATAATATCCAACTAGTTTAAGAATATGTTTGTCTTTTTAAAGTAAAATAGTATTGTTATGACTTGCATTTTAAACTGATAACTTTATCACCAAGATGGAACACAAAGCAAAAAAAAATAAATAAATTGGCTGAACTTAAAGTTTGCCTCCATTACCGCTAGTTTTGATCTTTTTATGGAATTTATGTTAAAGAACAATGTAAATAATAAGTCTAGGCTTAAATGTAATCCAAATAAAAAGAAAGGCTGTTGATATGTCATTAGCATAAATAACCAGCATTTTCAGTCCTCAGACATGCTTTAAATTCCACATCAGATCCATAGGCATCTATTTAAGTTTAACTACTTTATCTACATATAAACAATAATTCCATTCATCATAATAATATTCCCTGGAGCAAATTTCTGTATATCCATGCATAAAAGCCATAGAACATATTTAATCTACATACAAAAAGGAATATAATACAAAATATAAAATTAAGACTATATTATAAATTGACCTTAAAAAAAAACAATATTGAAAAACATTAGATGTACAGATTTAAAGTGCTTCTTTTTTGTCTTTTTGTTCAGCATGCTATTGAAGAACCAGCCTAGAACAAGGATGCTAACAAGCATACGGTATCACGGTATGCACATTATGCACAATGCTTGTGAATAGCTTATTAGTTAAGATGCGAGTTAATGTTGACCTTTTCTGATTATCCTTTCTAACAGTCATGTTGAAATGATTATAACAATAAAATCTGACATTGATTAAACCTGAAGATTCCTTCTCCTTAAATGGCACACCGGTCCCACATTGGTAAACGTCACCAACCCATAAAGAAATAAAACAGCTTGTGCTTTACGTTGGCAGAAGTCAAACTGGCTGCATCTTGATGCTGTGACTGATAACGATGGTTTAGGATGATTTATAGTCAGCTGTAAGGGTTGAGAAGAAGAGGGAACTGAAGAACTCCAGCCCAGTCCAGAGAGAGCAGATCTGGGCTGGAGGTGGAAACAAGCCGAGGGGGCTGATGGGTAAAAGTGGGCACTGGGGGGGGGGGTCCAGTTGCAAGAGCACTTTCTCTCACCTGTATTCCACAAAAGTACAGTCGTCGTCTTTCATTGGCTGGAACTCTGGGTCTGTGTGTGCATCTTCCTTCTCTTTAACTAGTGAGAGAAAAGTATTTCAGTACCAAAAATAAATGTTGTCAAAAGGAAATGAATCTGTAAAATCATACAATAGACGTGCACAGCATTAAAATATGCCTGGAAACCACATTTTGAGACTCAAATCTTCCAAAACTGCTGCCAAATAATGCACCAGTATATTGGGTTTACATGTACCAGTTTAGTTGTGTGCTGTGACTCACCAGGGTACTTCCCTCCTTTATTCCTCTGAATGAAGCAGATAATAAGAAGGATCAGGATGAGCAGGGCAATGGCACACATAAGGCCGATGAACCATCCCTGAGTGGCAATGTCTACCTGTCTGCTGGACACAGCTGGCGAGAGACGGAGACACAATTGTAAATTGAATATTTCTAGATGTTTTCTTGATGATGAGGAAAATCCCCCCTGATGAAACTATCATAGATCGCTGTGGCAGATGTTAGCTATTAGTCATTTCAGTTCATGAATTAACCATGGTCTCACTTTTTACTTTAGAAATGTGAGCTGAGCAGAAGATCTTCTGGATTAATATACGAACAACATAAAAACTGTATTAGAAATGTTACAAAATAAAAAAAAACGACAAGGACATAAGCACATATACACACACACATACTTCCACAAATAATAATCACAGACAAACACACAAGTTTATTCTGTGACATTAGGTTGGAAATCATAACTCTTAGAACTGGGATAAATTTTTTTGTGAACTGGAAATCTACAGAATGAGATGGATACAATGTGAAGAATTTGAAACAAAAACGTCATGCATGCTTCTATACATTATGTCTTTACAGGACTGCAATACGATACAGAGCTATAGCAACTAGGGGTGTAACGATACATCCAGTTTACAAGATAAAACGATGCTTGATACTAACAAGGAGATATTTAAACAATATTTTTGATTAACCTAAAAACCGTAAACTTTTGTTTTTACAAAGAAAAAAAATTTAAAGATCACAAAGGAGCTTTTTTCAGTGCATTATTAGTCAGTCGAGGTTTGATCAGTTTAAAACTTCAACATTTGTGTTGCCAGACTGTCAATGGTTTAACAGTCAGGGTTTTCTCATGGTGTCTGAAAATAGTTCACAAATTTCCTGTCAGTCCCTATAACAATATTGTCTATTGTCTACTACATGTAGAATAATACAGCAGGGAAGCTTTCTTTAATGATCTCTAGCTCAATTTTTTACAACAGCCATAGAGATTTTTATTAGTGGACTCTTTCAACATAATAAAGGCAATTTAATAAGTACTTCCTTTCTATTTTCAAAATAAGAGTCTCAACCACATGAGAAAATTAAAAATGTTCGCTGTTGTGGCAGATTTACACTGCAAAAAATGGAAATCTAAGTGAGTAATTTTTTTCTTAAAATAAGTAAATTTTTTCTGGAATTGAGGACGAAAGTGAAACACTTTGCTTATGGAACAAGACAATTTACATTTGAAATAAGAAAAAACTATTGCATTGTCTTATTTCAACTTCATATTATACAATTATCTTATTTTAAGAGTAAAGATACTAATTTCATTGCCAAATCATCTTATTTACCTGCTCAAATTAAGGGTAAATACACCTAATTTAAGAAATTTTTACTTATTTCTAGATCGTTTTTGCAGTGTAGACCTAAGGTTGCTCCAACTCCAGAAAGAATAATTAGATACGTAAAAGACAGGAATTTATTTCCCAAAAGATAGTAAGGGAATATACAAGGGTAAAAATATGACATTTGAACGAAATTGGTATTTCAAAACTTGTGTACATCTATTTGAATAATTAATGGTAATACCATACACGGCATTGCAGTAAGAAGACCATTCTCATGATCAAAATTTTGAAAGTTTAATCTTGTATTATGGTGATTTAATATTACAAGCTCAAATTTAATCTGTAAGTACGTTCATTAGTTCTCCATCCAATCAGGTTGGAACTCCAAAATGTTGATTTTGCTTTTGGTATGAGCAGAGGTAAAACGAAAATATTCACTTAAATTTAAAATCGGCAAGGAGGTTGGAAAAAATGAGCTTAGCTAGTTTCAAGCTTTAAGGTATATATAAACATTTTATCCCAAATTTTAGGAAATCTTGTTACACCCCTAAAAGCCATATTTCATTTAAAACCCAAAATCAATTATTCAAAAAGGAACAATGACAAAAACTAGAGATTCTACACCAGTAACAGGGTGAGGCATGACTGGGCCGGGTCAAGGTGGAGGCTATGCCGCGGGAAACGCCTCACCTGGGACCGTGACAAACAGCTCCTCGGAGTGGAGCGGCTGCTCATGGTGACCCTTAGCCACCACACGCACCCTATAGGAGTGGCCCCCCTTTAGGCCTTTCAGCTTAATGTTCTGAGAGCCGTTCACAAGCTCTTTCTGCCACTCCTCTTCACCTTCACCTGTAGGAGGGAGGTCGACGGAAAGAGGTATGTTTGAGGGGGTGAATACAACTTTAAAGGAACCATGGAGATAATGACATGATGGGAGCTACTTGGCAGATTTTTGATATGGCGTTACTCTACAGGCGGTTGTGAATATTCATGGATTAGGAAAAACAAAATCAATTAAGGCTTCGAAATAAATAATTTAGGTGGCCCTCAAAGCTCCAAGCACTGCGGCGTCAACAAGCTCATGTAAATTGAAAGAAATGTTGACAATTAGTGCCGCCACAAAATAACTGAAAGGAAACCAGCTTGGTTCAGAACAGCTGCTTGTTACTCAGAACAGACTTAATAATCTGGGGAGGGATAAACAACAGAGATGTCTGCTACATAGAAAACAGTCAAACACATTGTTCAGTCTCTAGTTTTTTATCTGCTGTCATTTATAATATATTGTCTTGTTACTCATCATGATTTAGTTTGTCATTCTGCTTCAAAATTAGGTCAAAACTCTACAAATCCCTTAAGGACCAGTAGTTGTCTTTTGTTTCAACATCTGGACACAGTGCCTTAAAGGAACACTCATACCCCTTGACCTTTTCCACATTTTGCCAGCGAACAACCAGAAACTTCAATGTACGTTTTTGGGGGTTTTATATAACAGACCAACAAAAAATAGAGCATATAAGTAAAGTGAAAGGAACATCGTATAAATCTACATATACTATTTCTTACAAATGTAAAGTAAAAGAAGTGTGATTTGTACTGATTTATTCTACAAAATGCTGATACCTTTTAAATAAAATCAAATTATTAAGTGTGTAAGTTTACTAGTTTAAGGTGTATATGGGAAAATAAGTCAACACAACAACAATTAGATGATTTTGCTTTATGTAACATGCTTTGGGATATTAACTGATTGTTTATAGATGTGCTTTATGGATAAACTGCTTCCACCAATAAAATTTAAAAAGCTTTAAGAGGTCTTTCATGAACATGCATAAAGCCAAACGTGGAAGAAGGTGATTTAGTACGATAAAACCAGAATAAATTGTTACCAGAAAACTTGTTGGGAGGCTGTAAAAGACTCAAGACTGGAATGTTGGTTTGCCTTAAGCAGTACATTCATTTGCTAAAAATCCAATCCAGGCATTAATTTAATCAATCAAATCATTGAAAGATTTAAAAGCTGTTGCTCACAGATGCACTGCCTGCAATCTGACTGACCTTGTTATTCTGTAAAGAAAAATTTCAAATAGTTCAGTCTTTAGTCTCATCAAGGCGGTGGTGACATACCACCAAAATGTTGCAGCAAAAGGAGTTTTTATGCAGTAACTTTTCAGAGAGTTAGAGATAAAAATGAAGGTCATACTCATAATATTTGTATGGAAATGTGAAAATATGTTACCTTTTTCCTTCAACTTCACAAGTATGATCTTATGACAAGATGTAAAAAGGTTCAAGAGGTATTTGTTCCTTTAAAAAGCCAATGTGTTTCAAGGGTATAAAAGCAAATTGAATTTCAATGATTTTTTTCAATTGTTGATTTTTTTACCATTATCACTTGACCCAAAAAAGAGCTATACGGTACTCCAAATCACAAAATATCTATCCTTGTGATGTGACGCAAAAAAATAAAAACACTCTCTAGAGAAAGCAGTGATTGCTTTAACCATTTAAAGAAATAAACCTCTAATCTTTCTGTCATATGGAGCACTTATGTGAGAGCTAAGCTGTCCCTGAGATAGAAACATTCATCTAGCCTGTCGTTTGAATTCTTTTCAGGTCTCTGCATTATTACATCTGTTTATCTGCATATGGGCTGTCAGGGCCACCAAAGAAGCACAAGTAAAAATGAGCTACAAATGAAATGCATCATGAATGATGATCTTTGGATTATTTTTTGAATAAGGTGGAACTATAACAATGACATTTCCTAACTTAATGCATGAAACAGTAGGTGTGAGAGAGTCATACCACGTTCCTTTAACTCACTGCAGGTGGAAAGAAAGCAACTGCAAGCCCTTTAGCCAACATGGGCAGAAAAAAAGACAGGAAGAGGTGCTTTTTGTAGGGTCTTCATTTTTTCTATCAATGTTGTTGCTTGAAATCAAAACCAATCCAGCCAGTATCACTACTGAGCTATTAAGAATCCAATTACACGAAGCTCAATTTATCAAATCAGGGTTTGCGCTGGCAGGAACCAGGTTAACATGTCTGCCAATATTTCTAATCACCTGCACAAGCCAGTAATGAAGTAGGAGTCTCTTGCCACCCCTGCATGGAGCTGAGAGAAATTTTAACGAGGTTGTTTTCTTACTGTTTTCTGCAATGTACTCTACATAAACATTTTTCTCTGGGCCCCAGTACTCCCAACTGATCAGGGCCCCATCTTCTTCAAGCGAGGAGCTAACATTTGCAAATGGACTCGCAGGCCGGGCTGCGCACATAAAAGAAGAGACAATAATCAAGACTGGCCTGTTGGGCGATGGTCAATCCAACAAGTCAGATGCTTTGTTTTGATTGTACATGATGTCTAACCAAATTACAATTTCATTCAATTTAAAAAAAATGTATTTCAATAATCCATTTCAAAAAGAAAAATAACATTATACATATATTCACTAAACATGGAGTGTTATATTCAAATGTTTTATCTATGTTAAGTGTTTTAGTAGATATTTAGAAAGATTGATTTATTTTGTACAAAGCATTTCTTTAATCATAGATTTCAGCTATACTATTTGAATAAAAGAGCAAACCAGAATAACTAGTTGATCTTTTCTAATTTAATGAGAAGCACTCGTAGGTCTTTGACATGCACGCTTTGACCCAAACAAAAGTGCAAAACAGCGCTGGATGGGAATATGCACTATCAATAAATGGAATGCAAATTAAACTCACGATGAACTAACTAGACATGCAGTTTACTAAGATCTTAGTCTGTACCCTTGTGGATCGGACGGTGTGGAGCCAAAGCAACGGGATGAGAGGTTTGGGTGCTCCCTGTAAACAACACCAAGAGGATATGTTTGGAGCCACATCCAAACATAGAACCACACATGCATGCAAAAGACACAAAAACACAGACTCTTTCCATGAAGGGAGGTACAGCAGACACAGAGCCTTGCCATGCAGCAGATAGTATAACCAGCATCCATTGTGAGAAAGTGGAAAAACAAAATAGCAGCATGCCACTTTAATAAAGTGTTGTGTTATCAAGTGGAACATAGAAAGACATGTCAAATAACATATTCTTCTTTCAAGCTTTGAACTCAAACATTTAGGTGAGTAAAGGACAGAAAAAAGAGCGAACATCTTGAAAGATGAGCATGCTTACAGTGTGTTCACAACATGAGCTTAATTTTAATGTAGAAAAACCACCTTATACAAACACATCTATCAATATTTGCTGACAGAAGCTAAAGAAAGACATCAGAAACAAAAGGTTTTACAATAAGCTCAAAATAATCATCCCTCCCTCTATGTTACTTTTCTATCACGGATACATTTCCGATGCAAGGACATCAACACGAGTCTTAATGTGAGACATCAGCAGCACAATGTACAGATGTATAATGAACAGCAGCTAATGTACAAATGTGAAAGGAAAAGCAAATACTTTGATGTTTTTCAATGTGATCTGACAAAAGGTTGCAAAAGCTTCAGTCTCATATCTGATCAGCTGATGTAACTTTTCTACACACCACAAAATACAGCTCATGAAAAAAGCCATCCATTGAAAATATTTGTACAGTTGTATTCAAATGTTAACCGTCTGATTATAGATGCGACGGTTAAGAAAGGTTCACTTTTTTAGTTAGACTGAGGTCTGGCTTTTGGAGCATCTTTGAAATAACAGCAGCCTAACATAAGTCTGTGTTTTCTTTTCTAAAACTAATAGATTTGATAAAGTTTCAATCATTTCAGTAAAAAAATGGCAAAGGAAAAAACTTTGCCATCCCCTCCATCCAGCCCCATGTACCAGCAGCCAACAGAATGACACTGCCGCTGCCATGCTTTATAGTGGGTTTAATATTCTTAGGTGTGGAACCCATGTCTCTCTGCTTCTAATCATAAATTGCATCTTAAAAAATACTGCTATATAAAAATCTTCCAGCAAAATTTATTCAGCTGACTGAAAGCTGAAACTTTCAGTCGGTTTTTGGAACAGTAGATTTTTTCTATATTGGCCTCCTCTAGGCCATATTGATGGCAGAGAGGAGGCCAACTCTTCCCTACTAACAGTGATTTTAAATTTCTTTTATTTGAGTGGAGAGTTTTGGTCCTCTTACATTTTAAGGCAAAGTGTTCTGAATAACTTCTGCAGATTTATGACTGTTTGAAAATACTTTATGATCTTAGAACCTGGAATTGGCGTCACTGAGTTCACCAGATCTCCCGCATGTATTGAGTTTTAGTTAATCAGATAACTGTCGTAAAAATCCCTCTTATGCTAGAATAGAAAAATGCAAAACTTGTAATCATTGAATAAAATTAAATCTTGGCTTTTTAAAGTTCAAGGATATCATACAACCTACAGCACACCTTATTTAAAAATGAGGTAAACATCTATATAAGATGATTAGAAGATAACAGTTAAAGTAAAATATCAAAAGCCTAAAATGAATAAGAATTCCTAAATACTTCTGACTTAACAATTTTATCAATAAAAGGTAAAGCTTTTTCAAGCTTTTTCATGTTTAAAAGTCAAAAAGAAATGCTGTGAGAATAGATTATTTCCAGATCAAGGTGACCTTTTCTTTCGAATGAAAAAGCCAAACAACAGAACAAAAGCTCCTTCACAATAAACATTTTTCAGCTTAGCCTGAAAGTAAACATAGTAGAGGACACAAGCAATAATAAAGCGACGATTGTTAAACCATGCTAGATGTTTTCCAGCAGACTAAGCTTTATTTGGCAAACATTTCTGCTGTTTTCTGAGGGAGGTGCAATACATAAAACATGGCTGACTGTCAAAGGCAAATTGTGACTTAATGGCTCTTCATCTTGCATGATTGGTGACCTTTATTAAAACAATCTTAATGTGTTTGTTTCAGTCAATAGTTTCAATAATGCACAATGTTTTTTTCATAAATTATAATCTAATTAGTTTGTGCTTCGGGGCGTAGCCTCCCAGTAATTTACAATTCCCTGCTAAATTGATCACAGTTTCTATGGTGACGCTCTAAACGCTTAAAAACAAAGGTCTGAAATCTGCTGCTGTTACTGCATGCAGCTTCTGAGCCGGGTTTTTGTTACTTTAGCTTGTTTGCTTCAGAACAAACTGATGCAAATAAACACATTTACATTGAATTGATTTTCAACTAAAAGAACAGGTCCCTTTGACTTAAAATTCTGTCGATTTTATAAAAATAAATGTTGTTTTCAATGTTTCTTAATATCTTTAGAAATGCTAGCCTTTCAGAAAACATTCTCACATAAGCTTATTGTTTTGCACTTCCCTGCCTATGTTGACTTACCTTTATCCGGCATGACAGCTTCCTCAAAAATGGCCGGGCCCGCTCCAGCGCTTGTTCTGGCATTCAAATAAAACTTGTAGCGGGGGCTGTACTTGAGGTTTTGCAAAGTGACTGAGGTCTCATTGGCAGCCAAGGCCAGCTCCTCTTCTGGGCCCAATTCATTGGAGTTATTGACTACAGTGGTGAAGGATCGAGGACGACAACCATGGGATGGAGAGGGAAGTTGGGAAGCAGAAAGTTGTGTAGTGATAGGAGGAGGGTGAGGGGTTGTAGATGGAGTGTCAATAATAAAAAGGGTGGAAATGGATAGATTTGGATAACAGGGGAGTAGGGTTCAGAAACAGAAGTTGGGAGTGACCAGATTTGATTTGTTAACTTGTGTTGTTTTATTTGTAAGAACATTTAAAATGCAGTTAAGCTACTCTAAACTTACATGACTACTCAAGTCATGAAAAAGAATGACTTACAAGGCTACACACTAGATGACAGAGGATGATGTTCACATGACAAAGATTTAGATATCTCATTTGCTGTCTTTCAAGAAAAATAAAATCTCACCTGGCTGATATCTGAGGGTGTAGCCTGTGATGTGCCCATTATGTTCACGAGGAGGATTCCATTCAAGGGTTAAAGAATCTAGGCTTGGGTTTGTGACCAACAGTGATGCTGGGGGGCCAGGCTCTGCAGAAAACCAAAACAAATAGCATGAAATAGGAAGAAAAGGCTAAACAATATAACAGGGAAGAAGTGGTGAGAAAAGCACCAAAGGGATTATGCACGATTTAAAGGTTATTTTAAACATAAACAATATTCTTTCTAATCTGAATGCAATTAAGTAATTTGCCACTAGATGGCACCAAGACCTTTTCTATGTACCTTTAAACTTTGAAGGCTTTTTTTCATAGCAAAACGAAATATTCTAAAAATTCACATTCTAGATATTTTTTTTTTAGCTGTGTTCTTCTTACCTCCCTCAGGTGTCTTAAACTGTTGTGTTTTACTCGCGGGGCCGTCCCCTTTCTTGTTAAAAACCCTCACTTCGAATGAGTAGTGGCTGAAAGGGTGCAAGCCAGGCAGCATCCCGCGGCTCTGGTTCCCACTAAAGGTCAGGATGCGCTGCTCCATCTGATCAGAGTTATGTTTATGATGTTTTCTCCAGTAGTTAATCTGCAACAATTTATGTCATATGTACAGACTTGATATTAATAAGCAGGCATAGGAAAAAACACAATGGTCCAAATGTGCAGACCATAACATTAACATAACAACTTAGCTGAAGAGGCTTTATCTGTAAATAATAACAGTAAACAAATGACAACAAAGTAGCTCTACATTGGATTTCTGTTATCACTCTTTAAACTCTATGATATTAATAGTATTACAAGTATACATTTTGAAGCTATGACTTGTATTTATATTTTAAAACAATGTTAGATGTATGTTGTATCGTCACTGGTAACATCGTATCAGTGTGATCCAGAATGGGTCTTCTCTACGATAGAAGGCAAATTAAAGATTCATCTTCAGTCCACAGATGCTAACAGTAGCAATTATAATTTCACAGGCTGAGTCTCAGTGGTATAAAATATCTGTGTGAAAATCCCAAACCTTGTATCCTTGGATGTGCCCTCGTATTAAATGAGAAGGCACAGGATCCCATCGAAGCTCTACCAGAGTGCTGTTTAGCACTACAGCCTGAACATTTGCTGGAGCTGCTGTTGGCACTGTGGGATTAAAAAAGATACGTAACATTAGAGTAGAATAACAGAAAAAGGTCAGAGCAAAATGTTGCAAATTATGCAGCCCCAAGCATTAGTGCACGTTCTTTTTGTAAGAGTTTAAAGGTCTTAAAAGGTTGAGTTTTACTCACAGTCCTCTCCTGAGTAGCCAATGACAACAGCAGGCTCTGGTCCTTCTCCGAGGTCGTTTACAGCCTGAACTTTAATCTCATATGGACTGAATGTTGGCGTTCCAGACACAGTAAACTTGGAGTTATTGGCCACGGTCACTGTAGTCCAGTCAGTGCCCGGCCGCTTGTGCCTCCAACTTACTTTATAGCGAAGTCCTGGACCGTTAGAATGAAGGCCTGTAAGAGGCTGCAAAGAGAAAAAAATCTTTAGATTCTATCCTACTTTTCGAGGTGCATTACAGCATCAAATTTTTTATTTATTTTTTTTTTTTGTAAGAGCTCTGAAAAAAATCTAGTTATCGTAAACAGTTTGATGATTACCTCCCAAGTGATAACAAGATTGTTATGCTCAGTTCCAGAACCATGTACACCTTTAGGGTTCTGATCAGGAGCTGAAAATACAGCATAAAAGAAAAATTAACAACTTTCAGAAGAAACAGCTATCTCACAGCTTCTATCAAGTTTTTAGTGAATTTCTAAGCACCATTTCTTTATCAAACATTACCTCAACCTAAAACCTCTACTTATTCAAAACTACTTTCCAGAATTTATGTTTTCCTGAGTTAAGAAAAAGTACCTTGTAAGTTCTAAGACAGTATTTGGTGAGTTAAATCAAAGTTCCAGGAAATTGTATTCTAAGTATGAAGTAGCTTCTATATTATTGTTGGGCCGATGCCATTTTTTGGCCCTGATACTGATACCTGGCTGTGCAGGATTGACCTATACCGATACCATCTGTTTGAAATTGATGTGTGTGTGTATATGAAGAACTTCATATTACTTGGATGTAAAATATTGCCATCATGACTTTGTCAAGCTGCTGCCTACCTTTGTGAAGCAGGAAAAAGACTAATACAAAGTGAATCCAGAAGAACTTTTTATTGCCTATCTGGAATGGGTGACAATAGTTGAATAAACTTTTGGCCTTCAAAATGGTATCGGTGCCCTATTTGTTGGTACTTGCCGATACCAACACCACCATTTTAGTGGTGTATTAGGGCCATGCCTGATACTGGTATCGGTATTGGGGCAACACTATTCTAAATGCATAAAAGTTTCAGAAAGGTAACCAGTAAATTATATTCTCAGTTATTCTAAAGTACCTGACAACTTCTAAAAAGTAAGATCTACTGTAGGTAACAGAAATTAAACTTGAAGGTGTAAAGAAAGTAAACAGTGAGATCCATAAAGGTTTTAGAAGATTACCTGCGAGAACTTAAATTCATCTTTACATGCAAATAAAGTACCTAGTAAGTTCTGGAAAGTAACCACTAAGTTTACGTTTAGGAATAGTTACATTTAAGTTTAGGAGTGAAGTGCCGTCTGTCTTATCCAGTGATTTATTGATCTACATGAACAAAACTGAGTATCCTTTCAAACATCAGAATGAAACCTTCTGTACCTGCAGGATCAGTTTTATACATCCGAGAGGGGCTGCTGGGCTCGCTCAGACCCACAGCATTACGGGCCAACACTCTGAAGGTATAGTGGACATATGGGGACAGTTTGAGATGAGCTGTTGTCCTGGTCCCAGGAACCCTTGCAAGGTCATGCCAATGTCCTCGGCGGTGCAGAGAGTCTTCATACTGGATTACAAATTCTGCATTTAATAAAGATAACCATGTTAGATCTCTTAACATTTGCTAGGTATCTGTTTGCATAATGGGGCTGTTGCTCTAATGCCACTTAAACTCAAAATCAACTGAGTTCATGCAGAGT